AATCAGTGGGGGGAAAAAAGCAAGCAAGCAAGCAGCTAATCCAATCCTTACAGAAATTCCATGACTGCAAGGCAGAAGGATATTCACACAGAAATAGCTGCCCCAATGCTGAACTTTAAATTTATGCTAGTTCCTTAAATGAGAAGTGTCACAACCCATGGCATCTACCTAACCTTCATTTACGCCAGGGGAGAAGAGACCCAACCATAAAGCTACTCTGAGAAACATGCTTCTCTAAAGCCGCTCTGAGGACACAAGTCTTTCCAGCATTAGCCAGAAGCCTGTTTTCATAACATATTCCCAAACCCACCACTTTCCATCCTTTGGTTCCCCATTCTGTGACAACTCCCTCATGGAGACACCAGCACTTATCAAAAATCTAGAACTGAGGAGCTACGATTAACAAAAAGGTTGCTTCCTGAGGGTTTTGGGGGGTGGGGGTGGAGATGGGAGCCAGAGTGGGAAGTCTGGATTGTCAATTAGTATTTTGCTTCTCAAAGTTCTCTTGGTGCCTTAGTTTAACAGGTGGTTAACTATCTTAGAGTTAAACTGCCCAAGGAAGAACTCTCAGGACAGAAACTCCAAGAACAAGAGAGTAATATTTGAATCAGAAGAGATGGTTAACATTGCTCATCTGACAATCTGGCCTCCCCACACAAACTGTAAGTTACATGCCAACAGAATGTTAGGTCTCAGAATCAGACCTTGAAAGTCATATATTCCTCCTCATATTACCGTTCTTAAAAACCTCAACCATTTATACTCCTGCCCATGGTGGGGTAGAACACAGGAACTACCATTTTGATCTGGTTGGGGGAAGAAAAAAATTGTTACTCCAATAACACGAATAGCCTACTGGAATAACTGCACTCTGAATCCTGTTCTTACTGCTGAAATTCACAGTTTAAAAGAATACCTGGAACGACCTCTAAGTAACTTCCACATCACTCAGCACTGGAGAAAGGGAACCAAACATCAGTGATGTAAGGGAGAAATGGTCTCTCAGAGGGACTTTTAATCAGGCCACAAGGCACCTGGGCAGCCTCTGACTGCTGTTCTCCAATCTTCTAAAGTCCTAGAGAAGGAAAGCAAAGGCAAGTGCCCAGTACTCAGCTTTTAAAAACTTTTAAAATACTGGCTTCGATGACCAACCTAATCCCTGATTGGCTGGAATGTACAATAAGGCTGGGCTTTAAGCCAATCAGAGTTTTGGTGGTTGGGAATGGACTAGACACTAGAGCAACTGCCACTCATTTGGTCCAACATTTTTTTCAAACTTGCTTAGTTTCCTTGGCACTGGTTAATATGTGGATCTGAACTAAAGCAATAAGGAAAAGAGATCCTCCTCTGTACTCTTTGCTCTTGTTATGATTATTTAACTATTTTGCCATTTGTTAGTAGGGTTCAATTAACTTGCTGGTATTCAGGATCCTGTATTCCTAGGTGTATCCCTTCCTTAAGCATGAATCATCTCACACTTAAAGTCCTGTATACCAAAAAGAACATGAAATGTTTCTCACTGATTTGGGTTCAAGGTCAAAGACAAATTCCCACTCACCTTGCAGGTTTACTGAAATGTGCTGCCCTGGAACTTCAAGAGGAAGAGAGGGGGACAAATTCTTAAGAATTTAAGACAGGGTAAGGAAGAAAGGAGAGGCATCCTCATAAGCTCTTCAGTTAAGTAAGGCCACGAACTCCAACACACCCTAAGAAGCTACAGGAAACAAACAGCAACTACAGCAAACCCTGGGTTATGAATTCAGAGGTCAGTTCCTTCCAACAATATGGAAAGAGAAATAAAAGGCAAAATCCTAATCCACAAAGTGTTTAGGATACATAGGTGTTAAGAAAGGGCCAATAAGAATTGCTCTTGCTCGTGTCCATCAGGAAAACAGATACAAAGTAAGATTATGATTTCAAGGAATCTGGTAAGGATGTCTTCGCTCCTAAGTTTATAGCTCCCTTGATTCTTTTGAGACCTCACTGTCCAGTAACTGACACACAGAAGTGTTTCCTCTTTGATGAACAACTTGAAATCCCTCAACTTTACCATAATAAAGAATACCTACAGGCCTGGCCCGTGGCTCACTCGGGAGAGTGCGGTGCTGATAACACCAAGGCCATTGGTTCGGATCCTATACAGGGATGGCCGGTTCGCTCACTGGCTGAGCGTGGTGCTGACAACACCAAGACAAGGGTTAAGATTCCCTCACTGGTCATCTTTCAAAACAAACAAACAACAACAACAAAAAGAATACATACACAGACACCAAACTGTTCCCCAGCCCAAGATAAGACCAGAGAGGCTTAACTCAACACAGGTATTCACATATTAAGTGAAGTGACTAGCAACCTCCCAGGAAAACCTAAGGCCTTCAGCTACCTGAAATGCAAAACCTCTGATATTTAACCCACTGGCTCCTAAGTAGCTTTATTTGTTCTGGTAGGCAAAGAGAAATAAACAATCTTCATGCACAGAACCCTGATCTATTTTGGAATGCCAACTAATACATTTTTTATTTTAACCTCTTAGCTGCTATGGGGGAAACAGAACTTTGTGTCAAAGTGACAGGCAAAATTAGTCCATTTCTTTTCTCTCTAGAGACACTAAAGCTAAGGAAATAGAACCTAGCCATTTAAAATGCTACAACCATAAGGTCCAGTGTCTTGAAAGCACCTTCCATTTTGTCCCGTGGGACTGTGACAATTTAGCAGCAGCAGCACGCACTTGAGCCAAGATGTAAGGCAGAAGGTACTCCTTGCTGGACCTCACAAAAACAACCCAAGAGACTCATCAACTCTTGTGTCCCTAAGTGAACTGGTCGTAGGACTGTAACAAGAGAGACAGGAACCTGGCCAAATGACTCTCACCAAGCCAAACAATAGAAGGGCATTTGTAAGGGGATGTCCCTATCATGCCCTCTGCTATGGCTACACAGGATTCCAAGAAACATGAAAAATGTAAAACAACCTCCCTCCAAAGGTTCTAAATCTCCACTCCATCTTCAGCACTGGAAGGCTTTTTCATACTAACCGATCCTAATGTTTACCCTTCTAATGATGTCTTATAAGACAGAAGGTCAAACTGATTTTTTTGCTTACTTCACCTATTTTCCCTTTGACTTGTGCACAGAAGTGGTAAATAATAAACATTTATGGCTTATTATGTCTAAAAGAGCTCTATGTAAATATATATAACATATAAGTCTGTTTGGTAAGAATGCATTTTTTCTTTAATTTACAGTTATATTTTCTTAGTGGTAGATAACACAATTGTGCATTTTACAATCAATGACATCTTAAATTCCATGAACTAAGGGCAGTTAACATAAGTAAACACCCTCTCTCATTCTGGTACACCGCTACCAAATACTGTAGGTTTTGTGTGATGGGGTCCACTACAGCATTACCTGTTTTATGTTTGATATATCTTCAGGTTCATTTATGACAATTTTATGATAGAATATCCTCTAAGTTTGCAATTTTTTAAGGAAAAGGATTTACTTTAGATAGGGGGCTCTGAAGTGAAACCCAAATTAGGGACATAACCTACATCAGAGATTTACACTAAGCAGGATGAGTTTTTTAAATTACATATGGGTTTCCAAATACAAGTGATATAAATGCTTACAATTAATTTAAGCTCGACTATGTTGGGAGTTTTGTTTCCCATTTTACAGTTCCGTGATGATGTTTATGAGTTGATGATGCTTAACTTTAATGACATGAAAACTCTAAACTAGGAAGAGAGAGAGACTGGACTCTAGTATACACCTTTCTATGACATCCTAGGGATCCACCCTACTTTGTCAAGCCTCTCAGCCCCCAACAGGTCGGGAACTTGAGACACTAGCTGTGGTAACTACCTTTAAGCTTGATAACTGTTCAATGCACCTCAACGATTACCTTTTATGTTTCTAACTTGAACAGTAAAAATCTCAGAATCCTGACTTCAGCTATCATGAAGTAGTTCTACATCACCACCTCAAAATATGCAGACTGAAGACATACCGGGCTTGTTATAAAAATATGAAATGTGTGAGGAGACCGAGTGCACTGTAGCATAACAAAGGCTCAAATTAATCTGCGGCTGATAAGGGAAGGGTTCCAAACTTCCAGAACCACTCAGTCAATTCTGCTTTAGGATCAGAACAGGTAGAGCTACCCACAACTGAGTTCCAACCCCACTTCTAATAACCTGCCTTAGCTGTTTCCAGAATCCAGAATGTTCTCAAAACCTCTCACTCAGCAGCTCCCTTGGCTAGCCCGGGCTGGCAGTCTAGAGCCACCGCGGCTGCCCAGCAATGCCAACAGCGCTCAAGAGGTCGCCCTCGTCCCCGCTGCTTAAAGATCAGTCCTAAGAGGAATAAGGATCTCACCCAGGAAGAAGAGGGGTAAAAGAGGATGACGGGAAGAGCACGAGACGAGCCCTCAATCTTCCTTTTTTCTCTATCATCTTCGACTTCTGGGGTAACCAGGGGACGATCAAGTCAGTAATAGAGACCAGCGACCGCCTTGAACCCAGACTAGTGGTCCCTAGTGGAATACAGTTGTTGGGGAAGAGGGGGTGAGGGGAGCAAAGGCTTGGGAGACGTAAAGTGCTGAGAGACCGCAATGCACAGAAGTCAACGAGAGAAGGCAGGCGTCGGAGGCGATGTTAGGAAGTCGTCACAGTCGCCCGCCGCCGCCTCCCCCACCCAGCAAAAGACCTCTGAGGTCCCCCTCATGGACCTGGCCTCTACACACGGACGACCTTCTTCTCAGCTGAAGAAAAAGGCTGTGCCTCAGTTACCCCGCAGGCGTAAGCTGAAGGGGAAGACCGACCCCCGAGAGCGCCCCTCAGAGGGTTCATCCGGACTCGATCTCAGACGCGGGGGCGGGGGGGGTCACGGGGGGCGGAGCATCGCTTCAACAGCTGAGGGCTGCATCATGGCAGGGACGGGTTTCCCTGACCCACGGAGCTGAAGATCGCTCCCTCCACAACCCTGTCACCCGGTTACCTCTTTGCTTCCTCGTCGCCGGGCAGCTCTGGCTCGGTCGCCGCCATTACTACATCGCACTCAGCGGCAGCCGCCATCTTACCGCCGGGACCAGAGAGCCGAATGGGAGGCAGGCGGAGAGGAGCACTTCCGGCTAGAGCATAGAGCTGCTCAGTAGTGCTGAGCCCAGAGGGGCTTCCTCGAGCCCGTCTACCAGCGTGAGGCTCCGCTTGGGGCCAGAGCGGCCTCCCGCCCCCGGAGGTCCACGGTGGTCTCCGCACGGAGGCGGGGGCCCAGGGGCGGTTCCTGTGCGTAGGAGGCGCCACTTTCCCCGTGTGTAGGAAGGAGGGGTACAGGAAGGTGTCGCCTCTCTCTCTAGGCCTTGGCTTTCTTCAGTATTCCTGGAGCCTCGCTGCCATAGCAACTTCCACTCCTAGAGAGTCTCGGGTAAGACTCAAGGAAGTCTGGGTTGGTTGGGTCCGGGTGACCCAAGACTCTGGAGGGAAAGGTCCCCCACTGCTACCTTCCCGAACTTGGATAGTGTCCACAGTTTCCTCCCGAGAAAGGCTGGAAGAGACACTTTGAGACCAGTTCCCCCGGCTTTCATCGGTTCCCTGGAAGCCCTGCCCAACCAAGCCAGGGGAACGCAGGGCGTCTTCACCCCGCGCCTTTCATCCACCCCGGATCTCCTAGCACCAACTGGTTCATCCCCCTAACGACGCTGACCCTTTTATAAGGCTGCTTTCATGTCAGCCACCTGGGCGTGCCATCCTAGCATTAAGCCTAATGAGGCTGACATGACATGGCGCCCCAGACCCTGCCCTGGAGTTCACAAGGCTGCTCACAGGGTGAGGTCCCTGCGGCTGGTGTCCCGAGTACTCCCGCCACTCATATAAACCCCTTACTCAGCACGCTTGTCTTGCCAAGTCTGGATTGGGAACTCACAGAGGGCGAGGACACAGTTAAATCATCTTTGTTGTACTTTCCTCAGCCAAACCAATAATACTGGTGGAGTTGAATTAAATTGGGGCCTTCTGAGGTTAAATTGGGGGAGTTTGAGGTTCTAATTTAAAGATGGGGGGGGCTGGCCGTTAGCTCAGTTGGTTAGAGTGTGGCATTAAAACACCAAGGTCAAGGGGTTCGTCTGCCCCCACAAGCCAGTCACCAAAACATAAAATAAAGCTATGGGGAATTTTAAAAAGAAGGGGGCAAAGGAATTTAAAAGGGATCCACCGCCTTTCTCCATGAAGACAGTGTGTGCCAATGTCCTTACCCTGTTTGCGTGGTCCCTGCCTATCGCAATGCTTAGGGAACTGAAACCATAGGGACCACTGGGTAGGGAAAGATAGGAGAGGCTCAGTGGGTTGGAAGGGAGAGGTCACTCATCCAGCCAATCATCGAATAGCCCTTACCAAAATGACTATTCTGTGCTAGGTTGGGAGGGCACAAAACTCACAAACCACCTGCCTTGCCTGCCAGTGGCTCACAGTCTACGGTCTAATGCAGGAGCTAATCTGTCTTTGTCTTCCCACTGTGTGCCTTTATATACAAGCCAACTCATTTATTGCCAGCTTTAACTTCGTCTTGATAACTCTCGACTCTTGATTATCTCCAACCTACACCTTCCAAGTTCCAGACCTGTGTATCCAACACTCTACCGGATATCTCTTGGATATTTCACAAATTCCTGAGACTTAACATTTAAATTGAACTCATCATTTTCTCCCTCCAACCCTCAACAACAGAAAACACAAGTGCCTGGGGTGCTTTCTGCAGCGGTTTGGTGGTCGTTGCTGGGCTGGCTGCGTGTGTCCAAGGGGCCTGGCCCATGCCTGAGGCCCCCCACCACCCACCTGGCTCAGGAGAGCCCAGGGCGCTTCTTGGGGCAGCTTGGTGGTCTTTGCTGGGCTGGCTGTGCATGTTGGGGGGCGTGGCCAAGACCCTTGTCGCCCACCCTCAGGACTTGTGGGTGTCCAGAGGCATTGCTGAGGTCCCTGGACCTCCCCCCTTTCTGGCTTGGTAGCCCAGGGGACTTCCAGTTCTTCTAGGTATTATAGGTGTTCTTTGGTGAAATGAGACCTTTGCTAGTTAATACCAAACTTTGTCTCTGGTTGCAGGTATTTGTTTTCTCTTTTACTTCTGTGTTGGATTTTTTGCTGTTCCCACCACTTAAACTCTGTGCTGGAACTAATTTGTTGTCCTTTGCTTATTTCTAAAATGGGGGAACTTCTTATGGGGACCAGTAATTGAGCTGTGTGGTTGAGCTAAATTGCCGCTTTGCTACTTTTTCCCTAGGAAAGGCTTTTTGTGCAGCTCAGGATTTAAAGGTTGGCTTTATAGGTACTTCTTGGTCGTGAGATGTGGGTACACCTGGGTTGTATAGAAACTCTGATCTGGGCCTAAGCCTTTTCATCAAACTGCACCCCCATGCAATTCTATATTCCTGACTAGTCTACTCTGAGTGGTCCTGTGCTGACTGGGGGGCAGATCAGCTGTCCTTGCTGTGCCCCAGTGTTCCTCCAGTGGGCCCGTCTCCCCCACCTCCCATGGTGCAAACACTTCCCATGGGATGGGCCATGCAATGACTCACCAGCCTCTGAGAGGCTCCTTTTTTACAGTTGTTGTGGCTCCTCACTGCTATGTGGGACCATGGGAACCCTATCAGTGGTCTTGCTAGCCTGGGGGCTACCGAGGCCCTCTTCTGCCCTGCTGCCTCCAAGCAACTTCATCTGAAGGGCATAGCTGAAGCTTTTGCCGGCTTCTGCTCCATGTTCCACGCTCTCAGCAGCTCCAGCCTGGAAGCTGCCAGGGCTCAAATCGTCAGAGCAGATTTTTCTTTCTCATCGTGGCTTCTCCCGCCTTCGTGCGGCCTGCCTCTCGGTAGGCCTCTCCTCCTCTTCGCCTGAGCTCTAGCGGCCCCAGCTTGGCTGTCATTGCTTTTTTGTAGTTGTAAATTGGTTGATTTGTGGGAGACAGTGACGCTAGGGACCGTCTATTCCGCCATCTTAACCAGAAGTCCCAGGAAGTTCTTGATGTCCCTCGCCCTCAAGTTAAATGTCCCTTTGCTGTACCCCCTAAGCACCTCTGTAATGTTACTCACCATGCTGGGCTGTAATTGTTGGTTTAGACGTCTAGCTCCTCTAGACCGTGAAGTTCTGATGCACAGCCACCGTGTCTAACACGTCCGCTTTTTCTCAGCACGTGGCCCTACGCCTGGCACAAAACAGGTGCTCGGAAAACATTTGACGACTAAGTGCTGGAGGAGACGAAGTGTTACTGTACTACAGTGGCAGACCCCGCGCCCACAGAGCCTAGACTCTCTCGCTCCCACGCACGACCGGCCAGGGCCTGGCCGTCATTCTCCCGCCGGGCGCGGGGGGCGCTGTGCGGCCGGGGCCCCCTTCTCTGCGGCCGGAACTTTCTTGCCGGACGGAAGCCGGAAGCGGGAGCGCGGCGGGGGCGGGGCCCGACATATCTACCTCTGCGGGGCGGGGGAAGGGGTGTTGTTGCGACCCTGCTGCCCCTCCCCTGGTCCCGGCGCCCTCCGAGGGCCCGGCTGGGCTGCTGCGGGGGCCCGGGAGGTACGGCACTGGGAGGCGGGGCTCGTCCAGCGCCGGAATCGGCCTCTGCTCTGGGCCGCTCTGGATGGCCAGTCTCTGCCTCCGATTCCCTCTGGGGGCCCCTCATGAGGAAGTCTGTAGTGGAGGTCCCTCTGATAGTCTCTCTTGGGGGATCCCTTCATTGCGGAGCTCACCGTACGGGGAGGGGGGTCTGTGTCAGGATTTTCCCCTGGAGAGACTTCTGCTTGGGAACCCCTTTGGGAGTGACCTCTGAATCTCTGCTCTCTGAGGGGAGCAGGGAGTGTCATTGTCAGGAGCTCTTGGGGAGCCTGTGTTTGGAAGATCGCTGTCTGGGGCCTCTTCAGAGAAGGGGTTTCTGTGTCTGGGCCCCCTCTTTCGGGACTGTCAATCCAGGAGCAACAGAAATTATCTCCTTTCCGAAGACTTTTTTCCCTTAGATTCCCTCACCCCCTTCTCTCTTGTCCAATGTTCTTCGTTTTAGCCATGGATTTGACTGGGGTTTAGAGGGAATTGATTGTTTTCCAAGTCATATAAGAAAGCAAATTATCCTTCTTAATTGCCTGCTCTCCCCAAAGAGCAGGTGGCTTATAAGAAGACAGATACACAAAAACTATTCCTGCTTATTTCTCCATAGAGTCATGGTTAAGGAGAGGAGGCTGGGTTGAGCTCCCTATGCTGATTGGTTCTCTGCACATCCTGTGCATAGAGAGGAACCTGGCCAGTAGTTCTTTCAACCAGTGACTCTCCTCTCCCTTTATGGCAGCATTTACTGAGCACCTGCTCTCTGCCAGATACTGGTCAGGTACTGGGAATAACAAAGAATAAAATACAGCTCACTGTCCAGTAGCGGACGTAGACGCACCAGTTCAGTATACACTGATGAGAAAAGGGACAGTGCTGAATCCCTGAGGCTATACATTCAGTTCAGAACGTGGGCTGTCAGTTATGGGAGGTCGGCCCTCTGTTTTGATCCTCTCTTCTGTCACCTCACCCAGTGTGCATCTGTTCCTCAAGGTTGAAGGCTAAGCATGGGGAAGAGCTGCAAAGTGGTTGTGTGCGGCCAGGCATCAGTGGGCAAAACTTCAATCCTGGAGCAGCTCCTATACGGGAACCACGTAGTGGGTGAGTGCTGTTGAGGGTGGGGGATGGTGGAAGAGGTTGAAAATAAGAGGTAGGATTTGATCAAAACACGCAAAGGCTAAAAGCTGCTTCTGGTGGCTTTTACATTCCAAAGAATAAAACTTACATCATAACCCCCAATTCTACAACATTGATCAAATCTGGAGGGAGGAAACTCAATATCCAAGATAGGGAAAGCTCCAAAGTCACACTTTTGCTTAGCGTGGTATTAGTATGAGATTAACGTCTGTTCCCCCAAATAATTCCAGTCCTGACAGACTCTCAATTCTGTCGCCTCCTCTCCTCAGCCCCCACATTCCTTCCTTTCTCTGGCCAGTCAGACTGTTAGGATGTCCTCATCACTCCCAACTCCCTCCCACTTCAAAAAAGCTTTCTTCTTTCATCGCAGGTTCTGAGATGATCGAGACACAGGAGGACATCTACGTGGGCTCCATTGAGACAGACCGGGGGGTGCGGGAGCAGGTGCGTTTCTATGACACTCGGGGGCTCCGAGACGGGGCCGAGCTGCCCCGACACTGCTTCTCCTGCACTGATGGCTACGTCCTGGTCTATAGCACGGACAGCCGAGAGTCCTTTCAGCGTGTGGAGCTACTCAAGAAGGAGATTGACAAATCCAAAGACAAGAAGGAGGTACATGGCTGAAGTTCCTGGTGGGAATCCCAGTGGTGAGAGAGGGTGGGCCCTGGGCTGGCTTTGGGAGGCCTGGTCTGGCTCCATTTTATACTCATCTTCCAGGAGGTTGGAGTTGGAAGGGGAATGGAGGCCCCGGGATGGCGTCTTGCTGTTGAGGCAGCTCGACAAAAAAGGCTTCTCTTCAGTTTAAGGGTCCCTGACCTAACGCATGAAGCTCCCACTGGTCTTTCTTCCTGACGGTTCTATGTTCTTAGCTGTGAAGGCTTGTCTGTTCTGCAAAATCCCCCTCTAAGCTGCAGGCATTCTGGGAGTGCGTCCTCACTCATTGTTTAGCCAGAGACTAACTGCTAGTAATGAGCTTGTGTGGGTGATACAGGGCTTGTGGTGGAACTCCTGGAGGGAAGGCCAGATGGAGGTCAGAATTTGAACAGAGGAAGGAGAAAAAGCAATTATCTCCTTTCCCTAGTCAATGGTTTCTAATGCACAAAGAGATGAGACATCAGCTATTGAGACTTTCCTATCATAGAGCTCCTAGGTGGTTGCCAGCCCCACCCCCTTCCTGAGGTCCATGGTATATCCACAGGCCTCTACTCTGTCCCTTTTTCCCAGGTCACCATTGTGGTCCTCGGCAACAAGTGTGACCTACAGGAGCAGCGGCGTGTAGACCCAGACGTGGCTCAGCATTGGGCCAAGTCGGAGAAGGTGAAGCTGTGGGAGGTGTCAGTGGCTGACCGCCGCTCCCTCCTGGAGCCCTTCGTCTACCTTGCCAGCAAGATGACCCAGCCCCAGAGCAAGTCTGCCTTCCCCCTCAGCCGCAAGAACAAGGGCAGCGGCTCCTTGGATGGCTGAAGAGCTGCCCTTCCTTCCTCACCCTCCTAGCCCCACACTAGCATCTGGGGCTCTAGAAGATGGGTTGAGAGCAAAGAGGGGGCAGGGGGGCTGGGTTAAGCAAGCTCTCCTTCCCTGTGAGCACAGGGAGCCCCCACTAGGCCAGGCCCAGGCCCCTTTTACTCCCTCTCAACTCTGGGAAGTGCAAATAATCATGGTTAGCGCCCCCTTCTCCCCTCAACCCGCCCACCCTATTCCTCTCCCCCTCCCCAGCTTTCATGATATCTGCTCCACTGTCAGCCGGGGTAGTCGCAGGTCAGAGTCCCTTCCATCTGCTCTGGACACTTAAATGTGCATTTCAAACACATATATATACCCCCAAGGCAAATTTCATTCCCTTCACTTTCTTAACATCCATGCCATGCCTTCCAAGAAATCTACTGTGATTACATCTCCCACACATCCTAATAAAATCCTCTTAAATGTGCATTTCAAACACATATATATACCCCCAAGGCAAATTTCATTCCCTTCACTTTCCTAACATCCATGCCATGCCTTCCAAGAAATCTACTGTGATTACATCTCCCACACATCCTAATAAAACCCTTACCTTCTGAGTCACCTCTAGAGATTGATCTCAGTCCATCTAGTGGAACGTTACATACTTACCTTGTATTACAACATGGAGCTTACGTTCTGACAACAGAGCATAAGATGAAAACAATATTTGGCAATAAACATTCTTGAAAATCTCAAAAAATACTTTCAGTAAATCTAACACAGCAAAATTTTCAAAAAGTTAGAATACAATGTTCATTTTTACTTGAATAAGTAATAGAATAAGGGTCTAAGTTTGAGGGAAAAAATACTCTGTCTAAACACTTGAAGCATCTGCACCATGCAAGATGCTCACCCTGAGAGAGGCAAGGGAACTGAGAAGACTGCAGAATAAAGCCCCCTTCTCACTTGCCTGCAAAAGTCCCTTGAGCTTCAACGCAGGCAAAATTATCAACATTGATTTACTTAAAATGTTTTTCTCCTTCTTCCTCCATCTGCTGAATCATCTCTTTCTCCTCCACCACCCCTCTTTACTGAGTTTTAAATTCCCTCTGCTGAAGTTTCTTATAAGCAACTCTTATCTCTCCTAGTAGATTCTGTGTCCTCAAGGTCAAGCCCTGCCTCTGAGCTATCTTTTTATTCTCACAAATGCTTACCAAATTGTTTAGCAAAGAATAGGTACTCAAAAGATAGTTGTAGAATACATGTTCACACTTTTGGGATGATAATACATTAATTTTGGAGTCAACTTTGTTAAAATTTTACTGGAAAGTGAGTTAGCCACAGTTTCTTCTTTAGAATTAAGTCTTATGAGGAAATACATAAAATACAGATGGAAGCACAAAGGTAATGTTTGAAATAAGAGTGAAAGGGAGGAAGGATTGGAGACCAGCACAATTATTTCTGCTGTCTTTTGGAAGACCTTACTTATAGAGGCCCTTACGAATCTAACATGGTCAGGACTATAATTTGAGATTCACTTTCTTAGGGTAAGTATTTATCTGTAGAATAAACGCTAATGCCTTGTGAGGGCACAGAGAAAAGAGGAGCTTCAGATGCCATGTGAGAAATCAATATAGCAGGAAAAACATTTTTAAAATTATGAGTAATGTAAATGAAAAAAAAAAGCCTTCAAATGGAGTATTAATGGATTTCAGCCTAAATTCTTGAAGAAATATTTATGCCATATCCTCTACACATAAAACATGTAAAAGTGGAATGTAAATTAAGACATTCAAGTGATTTGGAAATGCATCACTAATAGGAAAAGTTATTTTAGAAAGAGCAGGAAATATGAAGCTTTTCTGTTACATTGCATCATGTTATACATTAAATTATAACATAATAAAATATAAGAATGAGACAAGTTATAGTAACCTATCTCTTATAGAAAATATGATTTAAAATCTCTAAGCCTCAAGTTTTCTTGGGATAGAGAAAATAGTATTTATTCTATGATGTTTCTATGAGCTTCATCAATAAAATGCAAAGTAACTGATCTATCACATAATATGTCCTACATATGTGGAGTTGTATTGTTTTTACATTTAAAAGAAGAGGTTTTAAAATACATTCATGTTATCAATATTGTTAATAATACTAGCAGTTAAAACTGAAAATCATTGAGCAGATTTATTTAAAAGGTGTTAAAGCACCTTTTAATTTTCAGAAAATGTATGAAGGTACTTTATAAAGTCCATGAAAAGATTCATATTATCTTTTGATTCTATTTTTCCAGGAGCTTTTTGAAGCCCCCTCATACATACACACACACACACACACACACACAAACACACACACACACACGTGCACACACATATATACGTATTTTTCCAGGAGCTTTTTGAAGCCCCCTCATACATACACACACACACACACACACACACACACACGTGCACACACATATATACAAAAAAATTGTGTTGAAAAAATGTTTATTCTATAATCCTATGTATAGATAATTACATGTGTGGATATATATAGACATATTATTATTATATAATAATATCCAGTGATAAAGTAGGGTATGCTCATGATTCATTAATAACCAATCAGAAAACATGAAAAAAAAAATGCTGTTCACTGTGAAGCACATCCAAAAATAATACCAGGACTAATGTGGGCATTAAGATACTGCTGTAGTGATAAAGTAGGGTATGCTCATGATTCATTAATAACCAATCAGAAAACATGAAAAAAAAATGCTGTTCACTGTGAAGCACATCCAAAAATAATACCAGGACTAATGTGGGCATTAAGATACTGCTGTCCAAATTGTTTTCACACATCTATATCCTTTACCTTCATTAGACTTGGTAGGAATGTGTATTGGAACCACGTGGTCTGTTTTTCTGTTTCCCAGAGTAACCAGTCTCTGATCAGTGATCCTTCCCTTCCCCCTGGCTTTCTTTTTGGAATAATATTTCTTTAGTAGGTGCCTTGGATTGAGTATTCCCTTAAAATTTGACCTCCCCACTGTGATAGTGTTAATAGGGTGGGAAATCCTATCATGGTAATTGAAAGGTGAGGCCTTGAGGAGGTGATTAGATTCTGAGGACCATGCTATAGTGAGCGGATTAAAAATGATGGTCAGGGGCCTGGTTCTGAGGGCTTTAAAAGTAGAGGACATGAGAGGTTAGGCTCTCTCTGCTCCAACATTTTCTGCCATGTGAGACCCCTGATCACTGTCATCACCACCAAGACCCTCATCAGATGTGTTTCCTGGACTTTGAACTTCCTAGACTCAGAAACTGTGTAAGCAATAAATTTGGTTTTCTTTATCAATCACCCGTTTCAAGGATTTTGTTATAAGCAACAGAAACAGATCAATACAGCAGGGTTCTATTAACTCTTTCATGCAGCTAGAAGGAAATAAAAATGCTTTCTCATGGGCTTGTATTTGCTTTTCAAAACAGGAGTGTATTCTGCTTCTGTGTGGGCCCCATTGTTGCCAGTCACCTCTTTCCCACTGCTAGCCTAAAGTGACAGCATATGACCCAGCAGCACAGCTTTTGTTGTGGTTATTTGAACACTTTCATTTTATTACGGAAATGCTCAAATATAAAAAAAGCAAAAACAATAGCATAATAAACTGATCATATACTGAAAACCTAGTTCCATCATATATCAGTGCTTGCTAATTTTTCATCTATTTACCACATTTTATGCTTTGTTATTTTATATTTTTAATTTTTTTTGTAATAATCAAAAATCTTTATTATTTTTTTTTATACAGCTCTCAATTACCATGCAATGTCCTTTCATTTCAAACTGGTGTCATTTTATTTCAACCCTTCAGCACTTCTTGTAGAGCAGGCCTATGATACCAAACTCCCTCAGCTTTTGTTTGTCTAGAGACACCTCATTTTTCCCTCACTTTTTTAAGGAATATTTTGCTGGCTATAAAATTCTAGGCTGAAGGCTGGCTGGTTAGCTGAGTTGGTTAGAGTGTGGTGTTATGACACCAAATTCAAGGGTTTGGATCCCCAAACTGGCCAGCTGCCAAAAAAAATCTAAAATTCTAGTTTGAAATATTTTTTAGCACCTTAAATATGTCAGTACTGCTAAATTCCTGTTTCCATTTTTCTGAGGAGAAATCCACTGTTAATCTTAATAAGGATCCCTTGTCTGTAACAAGGCACTTCTTTCTTGCTGCTTGTGAGATTCTCTCTTTGACTTTGGCAAATTGATAATAATGTGTCTAGGTTTGAGTGTCTTTGAATTAATCATACAAACAGTTCTTTGAGGTTCTCAGATTTATCAAATTTGGGTAGGTTTTGGCCATTTATTTCTTCTGATATTCTTTCTGCTCCTTTATTTTTCTGTACTCTTTCTGGGAATCACATAACAAATATGTTGGTTTGCTTCATGGTGTCTCATAGGTCTCTTAGATTATGCTCACTTTTTAAATTCTTTTTTCTTTCTGGTTCTCAGAATCTATAAATTAGATTCTCTCTGATGGTTTGCTTTTTAGTGCTTTCAGTTATTGAGTGCAATAGCAGTCCATTTGTTCAGTAACTTTCCCAAAATACATTTGTAAAGACTGTATTCCTTGTTGCATGTGACTACTGACGTTTATGTTCCTTAGCTTTGTTCACCTAGTGCTTGACAGAGATTTCTTTGGATTTCAGAAGCTAATACAAACAAAAAACAAATAACACACCTCTCTCAGTCTTTGCAGGTTGTATCTGTGCTGTGGCACTTCTTCATCACTTAGACAGTCTTTCCCTAAGCCTAGGAATCAGCCCAGTATGAAAGCTTTGGGTCTTCTCTGTTCTTTTCTGAGTATATATTTTGCCATGGGCATACCCATAGCTTTCTAAATTCCCTCAAATACATGGCTGCTTTTCAATGTCCTAATTTCCTAAAGAAATTTTTGACAGTTTTGCTTGCTTCTGGCCTTAAGTGGTCTATTGTATATATATATATTTTTTTTTTTTTTTGGGGGGGGGTGTTTGTTTTTCAATTTTATTTTTTTTTATCAGTATACAATGTGGTTGATTATTGTGGCCCATTAAGAGTTGGAACCAGTCCAAATGTCCATCATCAGATGAGTAGATACAGAAAATGTGGTACATCTACACAATGGAATACTACTCTGCTATAAAAAAAAGAATGAAATACTGTCATTTGCAGCAACATGGATGGATCTAGAGAGAATTATATTAAGTGAAACGAGTCAGGCACAGAAAGAGAAATATCACATGTTCTCACTTATTTGTGGGAGCTAAAAATAAATAAAAAATATATACAAATAAACTGGGGGGAAGGGAAGAAGACACAA